ATATTACTTAAACTGTCTCTCGTTTCCTTTTAAAAAGAGCCAGCAGCCTATACCGCTGAGATACCAGCTGTAAATGAAAAACTTCAGAAAGATTTAGAAATAGAGTTAACTGGAATTTGATCGCTTTAAAGATGTAAGCAAAAACAAGCGATGGACTATTCCAATCTCTTGCGAACCTGAACCTTTACCCGTTGCGTGTTCAAATTCTTTTTCTGGTACAAGATGAAAGCTCTAATATAAACGAATACATACCTTTGTTGAGTCATTTAACTACTTAAAACACACAAAACAATCAGTTTTCAATCGATAACGCCCCACAGAACAGAAAACTCAACCTATCAACTGCGAAAAACTTTATGGAGACTAAGAAAATATTACCTCCAAAACTATTCGTGAGAAACAACACCGGCTAGATGTAGTTTCCCTATTGAGTGAAAAAAAAACGTGCCCAATTTTTCATCTAAAAATATTCATAATGGCATTAGTATTGCTGTCTTCCTCTCTTCATTTTCGAGTGGCCACAAAATTGTTATTAGAAAGTAATTACGAGTTTTACAGTTATTGACTCCCTGAGGATAGGACTTTAAAAGTGGTACTGAGAGGAATTTTTCCGAACTTGATTGAAGCGCAGTTGAGGAAGATTTAACGCAATCAAGGTTTTCACACACTAAAGGTTGATCGTATGAAATGTTATCTGAAGGAACGAAAAGCTCTTCCTTTAGTGCTTGCTGGAATGCCAAAATCGGAGGTCTCGGTATACTAAATAATTTCAGTTTGTCTTCTTTCAATTTCGTTTGAAGGACTCCAGAATTCAAACGTAGTTGGTTAGTACCCGCTGTCAATTTTATGGGCATATTCTACCTTCTGTACCTCTGCCTTTAAGTGCGTCAAATATGGAAGCAACCATAAAACTGCCAGCTGCATGAAGACACCAGATGTCCATCCGAAATAGCAAACTATCGAGATTGCCCTTATCACCCAAGAAAATCCCACATGCGCAAGAATTTGTCCTCAACAAATCGCACAACAGAATCACCATGCTCCCCGACAATTAATTGTACCTCTTCCAAGAATACTTAAAATAAAGGAAAACTCTCTCAGAAAGTTTTCAACCAGTCAACAAGAAGCATCCGCTGCTAACATGAAGTCAAAAGACATACATAATTTAAATAATATATGCACGACCATTTTAGCAATGGCAAGAATGTTAAACGATCTCTTAAGTCTTTATGGTAACCTCTCATCGTCATCTTGAATATGTTCACTTGTTATTTTGAAACGCGAACGATCTTTTGTGGGAAAGAAGAGTATTTCAAAACTTTCTTAATAGAACAGAAAATTGATATTGCCTTAAAAAGTGAGTCCTGTCTAAAACCAGGACATCTTAGAAATTTTCTAAATAACGTGCCTTACCGGCATGACAAGGCCTAATCGAGAAATGGGGGAGCAGCCATTATTATTAAAAAGCATATAGCTCTCCATTATACCGCTTGCCAATTTAAAATTTAATGAAGCAGTGACTATCAATTCAATCTTTATAATAAGGGGACGCGTGGTTATCGTTATTGCATAAAAGTCCCCAGGGCTGCCTTTGTTATCTAAAGAACGGGTCAGTATTTTTAACCGACGCAAAACTGTAATCGCGGATTTGAACTGCAAAGATCCTTCTTGAATTAGTAGAGTGGAGAATCCTTACGGGCTTGAACTGTACAACTACGCTTAAAAAATGGCTTTCCTTGTTTCCAGTCCTTTAGAACCAACACACATGTCCATAAAAGGGACCTCAGATGTACTTGACATAGCGATTACAAAAAACACACGAATAGCCTCAAACTTAATCAGGCTAGTGGATCTCTCCTCGACTCACTTCCCCAGGCTTTTCGAAATTGGCTTCAAGAATTTAGACCTTTGGAATTACATAGGAAGGTATACGGACTGAAATAAATTTAAAGTGATTGCCAAACTAAGCCAATCCAATTACTTAGACATCAGTTACCCTCAATGATTTGGTAACCCGCTATGAGACAACAATTATTCAAGCATATAAAACGGTCTCTCTTATAGTAACGACCTCTCCGCGTAAAGCACGCTTACCTGACAATATTAATATCTTATCAACTTAAGAGAGTGGAAAAAAAGAAATATGTAACCTTCAGAGCTGCTAAAGATAAAGTTAATTAACAAAGTAAAATAATATAATAATAAATAATATAAAAAAATAATATAAATTAAAATAATATCATACTAAATAAATAAATAATAAAATTTTGATGTTATTTTATAGGCACTGTCACTGTTTTGACATTTTTATCTTCATTTTTTATCTTTTTCCAAAACAGTACTGTTACTATATATATTTAAGCATCTGATAAACGAATTCTTAACAAACTTGACAAAAAGTCAAAAAATGCCACATTAATTTGCGCAATCAAAATTGGGAAGCGAAAATTGTCTTGCTTGAAAATTCGAGGAATCCTGCACTCCACTGGCGATTTGTCAATCCATAAGAAATCGCAAGAACCTCATTCTTCGGCCCTTAAAACAGAGACTGATTATACTTATAATAACAAACTTAAAGAGGATGTGTTCTTGCGAAGTTAATTTAGTCATTAGTCACTGCCTAATAAAAAAAGTGGCTCCTACGACCGAAAATAGAACTACTCGATGTAACAATCCTCGAAATATAACTTACGAATATACCGATACAAAAGACGTGAGATCAATTATAAACCCTCTTCGTACTAAAAAAGCGCCAGGTCCTGACGGCGTAGCAAAGACATGTTAAACCTTGCCAGAGACAGCAATAACAGCCTTAGTTCCACATATTAACTATTCTTTTTGAGTCATGTACATTTCCTGAACGATGGAAAATGGCAGCAGTCGTGTGCATTCCTAAATTTAAGTGGCCTTCTGCAAATTCTAAAGATTACCGTTCTATAAGTCTTTTGTCATGTATAGGCAAAATGGCTAAAGCTGCTATACGTGGACTACTGCAAAAGCTTGTGGAGAGTACTGTTTGTATACCAAAGTTACAGTTTGGGTTCCAAAGGGGTTACTCTACTACGCAGCAGCTTTTACTTTTCTCCGAACACGTCACAAAAGGGTTCAATAAGTCGACATGCGCATTATTTCTAGATGTCGAAAAAGTATTTAACAAGGTATGGTACGATAGACTTTTAATGAAACTATCTATCCTGAAGGTAAAAAATTATCTTCTTTCGCTTCTCCAGTCTTTTCTGCATCAAAGGACATTTATGTCAGAGTGGGAAAGCTAGCTCATCTTTAAACGAACTGGCTGTAGGGACCCCTCAAGACTCGCTGATCTTATTTGCTTCATCCATGCCGGGCATACCCAGACCTGAAAATACTCCACTTTTTTGTCACAATTTGAGGGCGATACGGCTGTCTATGCCCATTTTAAATCTCTTTTTTTATCTTTAAAACACGTGCAAACGTATGTCTCCGCGTTGAGGTATGGTTTGATAAGTGGCCAATTACAATTAACTCCCTTAAGAGCAAAGCTATATTCTTATCAAAGAGGAGACATAAAACGACAGTATCTATTTTAACGCTTTTCAGCCAAGTCCTATCCTGGAAACGGAAGTCAAGTATTTGAGTGTTCGGATCGACAAGCAATTCTCGTGGTGCTATCACGATGACTACCTCCTCAACAAAGCGAAGTTAACAATTAAAGAACTTTATCCTCATTTGTGTAAAAAGAGTTATTTCTCAGTAAGCAACAAACTTAAGCTTTATTTGTAAATTATTCGGTCAACTTTGACTTATGCAGCCGATGCGTGGTCATATGGCAGTCAACTAAACATAAAGCGGCTTCAAGCGGTTCAAAATCGACTGTTGCGAATAATCTCAAATGCCACATGATTTGTCGGGGTGCTCACTTGCATCGTGCACATAAAGTTAGGAACGCTTCCTCAATATTTTCGTCGCAATACTGTGGAAATCTATGATAAATCTTTGGCTTATCTCAAAGATTTATTTTTCGAGATAAACCTATGACGCGGTGTTTACTCTTTATAGGCAAACACCATGCCTTCTCACCACCCTAACGGTTTTCCTGCCGTAGAGGAATTCTTTTCTCTTTTGTAAATCCGATTAAGCATTATTTTTGGCCTCTTCTTCTAATCTTGGCGTGACTGTAGTATGTCAACTCTACAAATTAATAAACAAATCCTTAGTATGTGGTTTTCAACAAATAAGAAACTAGGAAATTAATGACGTTGAACCAAACTTTTCTTTCGTTACAGTCACTGTACGGCTTGCTATACTTCTCTCACAAGTATGTACAATTAAATACCCTTCTCTCGGATGGTACGAATTTGCCATATTCTGTATAATAAAGCGCTATCCTTCCGTGCTTTAAGTTCTGTTGTTCTCTATTGTTCTGCAATCTTAGTTCCTTTCCTTTTTTGCGCTCACCTCGTAACTCTAGTTCTCTTTCCTTCCCTACGACCTAGTTCTACGTTTGCTGCTACCTGGCTAAACGAGAGTTCCTTAATATTTAACTTTTAACTTTTTCAATGCCTTGTTATTCCATTCACACAAATTTTGTGGCTGCTTTTTATTCTCATAGAACGTTATATCCGTCTTGGTTATAACATAAGATATCTTAAAAGTTTAATTTGGTATAAATAATTGTTTAAAAAGTAAAAACTTAGTTTAACGATTTTAATCGAATGTGATGTGAAGCTAATAATTTAAAAAGTGGTGTTTACAATTGTTACCTAGAATAAACATGGCAGACAATTTCTTTTAATAAAAAACTTTAACTGACTTCAAGGTTAAACTGAAAATTTTTTTAAACTTTTCAATTAATATTTAAAAGCCTTTTAATAAGAGAACTTATTCTAATTAAAAAAATTTTAACGACTGCTGTGCATTGGAAAATTCTTTCTGCTTTCTATAGTTGATAAACAGTAAGCCAGTAAGTACTAAATATCTCGAGTGAAATTTCCGCCCTATCGCCATGGGGCGGAGTTAACACTATTTTCTGTTGTACTATGTTTTTTTACGTTTTGCTTGCCGGTTACAAATTGTGTGTGTGGTGGATCGACTAGAGTTTGCTTTTTATTATTGTTTATATAATATTACAAAATACAGTATTTATTTTTAATATTTTTATTTTATTATTTTACAGATTTATACCCTACCCATTTACTTTATACTTTCTCTAGGTATCTACAATGTCTACAAAATATGATGATTTAAAAGCTTTAACTAGAAATATTCAAGATGTTGAAAATCAGTTCTACCAAATTCAACAAAAATATGAACAGCTGCGTCAGAAGGACCCCAAAAAGATTACTAACGGCGAGATTATTTCGCTGTATGCTCATGTTGAACTTTTGGACCTTTTAATTCAAGAAAGTATTTTTATGTTGGTTATATATATAATACGCTTATTTCTTTTTTTGTAGTTGAAAATTATAGTGCTTATGATTAATAGAGATCCGCTCCGGTAATATGAATCTAGCAGACGTCAGGGATGCTTTAAATGTTATGAAAGAAGAAAAGGATTATAAAAGCCTTTTAGCCCTTAAAACTCAAAGAGGAGTTTTATTACTAGATCTCCTAAAGTTTATTAGTTTAACAATTTTCTTTTTCGGGTTTATTATTCCCTACTTGATAATTCTCTGGCCTCTTCGCATTTTGGTATTACTGTCCATAATAACTATTTATATCCCTGTAACTTGTTATAGCTTGTTTCCTTGTAAATCATTTTACTTGCAAACTTGGTCTTAAATCCTAAAGTAATATAATATATATTTTTATACTGTGAATCACCTGTCGTACTTATTTTATTTCTAAAAGTAAAATTTTTACTGAAATGCTTATAAATAATTCGGTTAATATATATACTTACTACTTTGATTTTTGATAAAGATAATATAATTAAAAATATTGTAATATTTCTATCAAAAATTATTATCAGAATCCGTTATTCCGGCGGCTCGGCTTCAGTAATAACTATCTTCCTTCGGATTGTGTATCGAAATTTTTTGCAGTGAGTATGTTATTCATGCTGGGCGTAAAAGTACACGTAGTTGGCTTGGAAAACGTGAATTCAAACGTATTATAATCTTAAATTACTATACATCTTTATGAATTTTATTTATTGTTAAAATAACTTCTGCTATTCTGTTTATTTTATTTATTTTCCTTTAGTTAATATTATTTAAGAAAAATCTGAAAATATATTTTTTACTGCTTAAATCAATTTAAATTTCCAAGTAAATTATGTTGGGGTCACGACTTGGCGTAGTTTTTTCAAAAAACACGTGTCATATCTCCATTAGAAAATCAGATCTTATAATTTTGGCTTAATAAGAATAATATTTATATATTTTTTGTTGAGAATTCTAAGAAATTTTATTTTTCATAATAATAATTGTGATTTTAGAAAAATTTTTATTTTTGTTTTTATAGAAAAAAAATATTAAAAGAAAGAAAAAATTTTATTAATAAAATAATTATTATACATTTACTTGTAAAAAAAATTTTTTATAACAAAAAGATTTATTATTAAATGTATATTTTTGTTTTACAAAATCTTGAGACTAAATATTAACTTATAGTATCACTATTTCTTGCTTTTAATTGGTAGAGAAGCTATATTTGCATGTATAACCATACAAGTGGATTGGACGCCTTCATTACGCAAGTCGCTTCGTCTGTCTCTTTCAAATGGATCGGTCTTAATATTATTATCAATAATAAAAGTTATATATTAAAAAAAATGGAAGAACTAAAAATATAAATATTTAATAAATTTAACAATTTTATATAAAAAGTTATGAAGTATCAAAACTTTTAATTTTTAAATAAATTAATAATAAAAATGAATATTAAAAATAAATTACTAAATAGTTTATTATGAAGCAATAAGAATTATTACTTTTTTGTATAATATAAAAATGTGTAGAAAACTGAAAACTCTATCATGAAAGTAGAATTGTACTAAAATTTTCTAAAATATACAATTTTAGTTTATCGACAAATAATTTATTAGTTGAAATAAAGTATAAGTTATTATTAACAGGAAAACACGAACTGAAGTATGTTCCGATTTTTGGTTTACTTTTTTGGGCTTATGGAAACATTTTAGTAGATCGGTTCAACAAGGTTCTTTTTTTATAAACTTTTTGTTTAAAAATAGTTTTTTTTAATGTAAGCTTTTATAGTGCTGTTGTTAAAAAACTCTTTTATTCCACTTTTTAAAAAAGAAGCATAAAAAGTTTATAAATTTTTATTTTTTCTAAAAGGTCGAATTTTTTTATAAGCTTCAAACTTTTATAGTATTAATTTTTTGTGTATTACTTTTTTTTGGAATTATATATTTTTTTTATCAATTTATTTTAATTTTTGTTAATAAAATATATAAATATACTATTTTTATTACTTTCTTTATTCTGGTGTACACAGGAAGTAGCCATAAAATCCTTACAAAATGCCGTTAGGAAGGTAAAGTTGCACCAGCGCTCGATTGCTATTAGCCCCGAAGGCACCAGGTAAGTAGCCTTTTATTCAAATTTTTTAACTTTATATATATATATTTTAAAATTTTTATAATATTTATTGAGTAAACTTTTTTTTTTGAATATGCATTAAATATAAAACTATTAAAAATTTCTTATAATGGTTAAAAAAATTAATAAATTTATAAATATTTTGTTACAATAGTTATATATAATAAAATTTGCAAAAAGTTTACAATATATTAATCTTAATTTTTATTGAAAAGCTTAAAAATATCAAAATAAAAATAAATAAAAAATATTATATATAGTAAAATTTTATATTAATCTTTTTTGGAAAAGTTACAAGTTTACCAGAATTTTAACAATTATTCAAGCTTTTGAATAAAAATTATTTATTATATTATAATAAGAAACATAAATAGTAAAGTTGTTATCGTAGTAAACTTAAACTCTAAAATTTTAAATATTATAATAATTAATATTTAAAGTTTATAAATTTCTTTTGAATTTTTTTTACATTAAGAAAACTAATATACTTTTAAAAAGAAGCTTTATTATATAACTTATAATTATCTATATAAATTTTATAAAGTACTACATTATCTTTTTTATAAAATATCAATAAATAAAATATATATTTTATAGTTTTTTAAAAAGTGAAAAGTATAATAATTTTTTTAGTTTAAATATTTGCATTATATAATATAAAGTTTCACTTTAATAAAAACTTATAAATATTAATAAATTTGTATTATGAATTTTTTTTAAAAATTTAAAAAGTATAATAAAAATATATTTATATTTATTAATAAAAAAAATTTTAAAGAAAATTTATTTTTATAGAGGTTTTTTAATATTTTTATAAATATTATAAGGTTTTTTTTTAACCTTAAAAATAAACTTTTTATTAATTTATAAATTTATATTTTAAAAATTTAAATGTTATATATTTTTTTAGAAAAAATTTGACGTACAATAAAGTTTTTTTTAACAAAAAAAAAACTTTTTAAAAATTTTATAATATTATATCTTAACAAATTAAAAGTTTACAATGATAAATACTTTCAAACATTATATAAAATTTATATTATAGTTTTTTATTAAAAAAGTTCTAAATATAATAAGGTTTTTTTTAGCTTTAAAAAATTTTTTTCTAATAAATCAGAATTGTTTATTATAAAAATTTTAAAGTATTCCATCAATAATTTATATTATAAGTTTTTTTTTAAATAACTTTTAATTTTATATTATAACAATTAAAAATATTAAATAGTAAATATTTTAAACATCGGAAAAAAATTTATATTAAGTTTTTTAACAAGTTAAAAGTATAATTAAATTTTATTAATTGTCAACTTAAAAAATTTTTTTTTTAAATACATAAAATAATTTTATATTTTAAATATTTTAAACTTTTAAACATTAAATAAAATATTTTTTAAAAAGTTTTTTTTGAAAGTTAAAAGTTTCATAAAGTTTTATTATTTTTAAATTGAACTTTTTTTGAATAAAAGAAAAAATTTTATATTAAAAAAAAACTATAAATTTTACATTTATAAAAACTCAAACATTAATAAATAAAAGATTATAAAGGTTTTAAAAAAAAATTAAAAGTTTAAGAAGTTATTAACTTCTAACTTTTAAAAACTGAAACTGTTATTTTTTTATATATAAGAACTTATAAATATTTACATTTATAAAAACTCATAAACATTAAAAAATAAATACTTATAAAATTTTTTTTAGAAAATATTAAAAGTTTGATAGTTTTATTTTTATAAAAAAAAAACTTACATTTTTTTTTTTGAGCTGTAACAATTATATATATATTTACTTTTATACTAGATCAGCAAATGGGCTACTTCTCACTTTCAAAAAGGGACCGTTCCACACAACGCAGCAAGTATGGTTTAGTAATAGTTGATAATTTTTTTTTTATTTTAAATTTTTTAAAATTAGTATATTTAGTTTTTATTTAAAACTATTAAATAGTTAAACATTCATTTTCTATTTTTTTTTATAAGAAAATTATATGTACTTAGATTTATTAATATTCTTTCTGTTCTTTAATATTAATTTTTTCTTTTTATATCAAAAAGCTTTTCTTAGATTGAATAATATAGTATTTATAATTTATAAAATATATTCATGCATTTATGTTAATATTAGCTTTCTACATTTTTTTATAGTGAACTTTTTATTATTAAATTAATATTTTCTTTTGAAGGCTGGCTTGCCCGTTTTGCCGACTGTTATTTACGGTGCTTATGAGGTTTGGCCGCGAAAGAGGCTTGCTCCTGGTAACGGGGAGGTTGTGGTCAGGTGCGTTTATAAACTTCATATAATAATTGTAAATAAAAAACTTACAAATATTATAAGAAAGTTTTTTTTCTGCCAGTCTACTTTATATAAAACTTTATTTATAGTATTATACTTCAAAGAGATAGCAGTTTATATATATACAAAAAAAACTTATATGTGGATAACAAAAGCTTCAAGTATGAGTTCATAATTTTTATTATATAATAAATTATTAAAATAGTAATGAAAGTACAGACTTTTAAGCACTTTATTCTATTATGACTGCTAAGGAAGTCTGATTGACTATGTACTATCAAAGGGCCCCCACTATTTGCCCGTTGGTGTTAGAAATTAACCAATACAAAATTTTCATTTATATTAATAGCAAATAAATTGGATTTTTAAAAGAGATAAACGTATTCATATTTATTTTATCTATAGACAATAACATGTATGTTTAGTGTTAGTTTTTTATTTATTTTTTAATACTACTTGCAATGATTATAGCTTTTATCAGTATCTCATGCTTCTCGTATAACGTTTATAAAGATTTCTGAAGCCGATTGAATATGATGAAAATAGAACTACTAATGAATTGAGCGAAATAGTTCGAGCCTCTTTTCTTTCTGATATGGTGACTTTTTTACTTTTAAAAATTTTTTTCTAACGTACATAGTTTTAATAAATATAATAACTTTATTTTTTTTTTATTACTAAAGTTAGAGGAAAATTTAGTTCCCCAAGCCCGGCCTCTTTCAAAATTTCGTCTTCTAATTCTAGTGCTCTCACACTTTCTTTCTTGTTATGCATCCTATTACTTATATATTGTTAAATTTTCAGAGTATTATAAAGGTTTCATGTAAATATTTTGTAATAAAGAAGTTAAAATGTATGTATATTAAATATTTTGTTAAGGAACACTGAAGCGTCGCATACATAATAAGACTTAACATCGCTAAAGTTTGTTACAGAATCTTATAAATTTATTACTGATGAACAAAATGAAAATTCAGCCAACTTGCTAAGCATTTCACCAAATTAGAAATTATTCCTAAGTTCAAAGTTGCAAATATATTAGATCTTTTGGGTTTACATGTTTTACTTCTGTCCCTCAAAAACATTTTTTGTCTAATAACTTTTCATCAGCGGGTTATTCAAAAGAATTTAGCCCAAGCGACCTATTCCAACGTATCCACCCGTCCATCGCGGCGGATATCCTTCCAACCAGAGAAGGCTTTTTTTTTACATTAAAGATTTGGAGCATCCTTTCTGTCTCAACTAAACTGATGCCCGCTTTATTTAATAGTTCGCTCACCTAAATCTTATTTCCTGGTCTACCCAAGTGGGCATAACCTGAATGTTGAGCAGAGATTAATACTTTTATAATCTGATCCCATGTCCTTTATTCCATTCCAATTGAACTCATTAGTTTAAAACCCCCCGCTTCGCATAGTTCTAAAAGTTTAACTATAGCACCTAAATTATAACTAATAAAGGAAAAGGTAAAACCAGGACTCAAAATTTAATCTCTCGAGCGAGTAAATCGTTTTCAAGGAGACTAGAATATTTACGAATAATAAAATTATATTGATATAGTATAAATAACTCGAATTAAGAAATCGCAGGAAAAATGCAGGCAGCACAGCCCCTTGCACAATTACAACTTGTGGACTTCCAAAAAAAATTTGATGCATACTGCTTTCAATAGCAAAAACCGTTATGCCGAGCTTAACTCTCTTGTAAATAGTAAAGTAAACTTTTTTTTACCCTAACTTATTATAAAATTTTTAACAACGTCAATACCTTCAACGTAAAAGTGTTTTAAAACTAGTTTTTTCGTCAACTTCTATTTTTTATTTTTCCTTTGGGCGGCAACGTTTAAAAGTACGCAAAAACCGAAGTAATTAGATATTACGGACAAACAACCAAAATAGACTCTAGTCTCTGGGTGTTTATGACTTAAGTACTCTAAAACAATAATTTTCCACGAATAAACTTACACGGCTACAGCTAGTCCCAGTCAATTTCACCAAAACATTTATTATTCCGCAAAATATAGAGTATCACCTATTCCTATTTCGACTCCCTCTTAACATCTCTATCTTAGGATACCTTCATTTCTTTTCATAAGATCCTTAAGAGTTGTCATATATGATTTCAGTTAACTTGTAGCCATTTTGTAATTCACATTAAAATCGAAAGCTAGTTTTAGTCGATTTCTTCGATAACCACCGATATTTTTCTTGCTCGTTGTCTTTCCCTAAATCAACATAATTAAAAGGGATAAAAACCATGAACAGGGGTGACACACCTAAAACAATGGACAGTAGATTGCTATAGTAAATATACTCCTCAAAATTTCCTCCCAAATTATTTTCTTTCAAAATAGCCTTTGGCCAATGCTTTTTTTATTGTTCAGCAATTTATTATTTTGGTGCCGTCTCACGGTAACTACATGGTTTCCATATCATCTTTAGTGAGGAAACTTTTCATATCATGATTTCATAAACACAAAGTTTTTTTTTGTTACAATTCACTGCTGGTCATTGGTATCCTAAAAATTGTCCAGTTGATCTGGCACCTCATATCTATAAGCTGTTATATGGTAATCTTGGTCGATGATGCATAGGCTCTTTTTTCATGTTAGACTTGTTCGCACTCTGCAGTCATCCATCACTTCTTCCACTGTTGCTTCATATCCTCAGTTATTGAATAATTGTTTAAGTCTCTTTTTCCCAAGATGAAAATTTATATGCATTTTTTGGACTATATCGCTGCCTCGCTATTTACTAAGCACTGCAGTCACTACATTTTTTAAAATTTTACTTTCCATTTGTCAAACTCTACCAGTTTAGAGAGTAAATCGGCTACTACGTTGTAACTCGCTAGCAGAAAACATGCCCTTGTTTCCACCTGTTGAATCGTTTCCTCGCTCAGAGTTATTTTCACTATCACTTATATAATCCTAACAACGATCTGTGATCCTACTCAACTATTTAACCTGTTATCACTTATCTTAATAAGGTTTATGAATTTTCCAGTACAGCCTACACTATTAATGCTTCCCGATCCGTGGTGCTATAATTTATTTGTACATTAAATTTGGAAATAACAACGCAACATGTGACTTGCCCTCATAACGCTATAGTAATACACCGCCCATACCTATCAGTTGCGGCTGTTCATAGCATTAAGACTTTTTCGGTTTTTACTCGCTCCACAAATATCTCCTTTAGTAATCTTTAAAACCTTTTTCCAGATTAATTCTTGTTCTTCTTCCCTAATTGAATTTAACGTTTTCCTTCAAAAGTCTACTCAAGGGTTCCAACACTATAGCAGGAGTTTTATCAGGTCTCTCTAAGGTTAGGGTTGGCTGTGGTAGGAGTTTTAAGGGTTTTAAAGTTTTACAATAAATGTCGTTACGAACACACACTCTTGGCTTGTTGGTCAACCTCTCAGATAAAATTATTGGGACAGGCCTCGCTGTCAATAAGATATATTTATAGTCAGCTAAACTCTGTGATTCTATTTATATACTTTAAGATTTCAAGCTATTTTTACAATTCTCATCTAAAGGTAATATAAACGTCATTATTACCCAACAAAGCTAATATTAAAAATAACCATAAAGCTGAACTTCTGTTATGTATCTTATTTTTATGTACAAAAAACTAGTTTTTTATATCTTTTTACCTTTTTTAAAACTTAAGTTAGAATTAGGTAAATTATTTTATCTTGGATATCGGATTTCAGAAAAAAAAAATCTGAATACTGTAAACTAAGTGAATTTTCTTTTTGGTTTTAGTACTTTAGGTGTGTTACACTTTAAAAAACGATTGTATATTGTAAGCTACACCAACACCTTTATTTAACATTATATTTTTTTTTCCAAAGTAAATTGAACTTATAATATGATGTTATATAAAAGCCTTATTCTTTTTAGAGTTATAAATATGCAAACAATACTAAATTTTAACAGTTATTAAAAATTTGAAAAATAAATTCAGTTATTTTTGCTTTTGTTACGACTAAATAATTTAGATTTTGTACGACCAACTATTTAGATTAAAAGATCCTATAAAACAGATAAATATGAGAGCCTCGCCGGGAGTAAAATAAAGTCAAAAAGTGAAGGGTACTAAATAGCAAGGATAGTTGAAGTGCTAAGAAAAAAAAATAACTCAAAAAAAAGGTAATGTAGTCAATAAGTAAATTATTTATACTACTACTAATAGATATACTAACAAAAGTATGTAAACCCCGGTTTGTCACTTACTTGCAAAATATACCTTAAAAGATTTTATAGTTTGAAGTATATGTAAAATATATATCTGATAACATAGATTGTAATAAATAAAAGGAGGAATTACAATTATTTAAGTAAAAAAGATATACAAATGGACCCTAAAACTAAGGCATATAAAATTCCAAATCACCACCCTAGTTCAACTTTAACCCAGCCCAAAAATTAACAAGGCTATCATCTATCAGGAAAAATAAAAAGGAAAGAAAAAATTAGGGTTAGGGTTAGGGTTAGGGTTAGATGTAATGATAATCTTTGCAAACAAAAATTATCATAAAGCTTCTTGAAGTACTCAAACTATTTCTTTTATCAATAAACTTTCGTATGCGGTATAGAATAGTTTTATTAATAAAAGTTTTTCGCTAAAATCTCCAGAGGTATCCTTGAATCAAGCTTGACTGATTGTTCAAAAAAGTATCTTGAATCAGGATCCTTTCTGCTGCCTGGGCTTCTTCAGTGGAATTTGAGGGCACTTGGTAAGCGAAAAAGCGAAAAGTTCTAGAAGAGGTCTTTTCAGTCTCTTTTATACCTTTTCAGGTTTATACTCGGAAAGTGGTTTCCAGAGTAATTAGAAATGTTCGGGAGCATTTCATATAAAAAAGCATATGACTTTAATATTAGGTTTAGGAACATTATAAAATAGAATCAGTGCTAGCTAGCTATCCTCCTTTTCTAATTTATAATGCTCCACTTTCCGAGTTTACGAAACGATTCGAACCCAATAATTCATTGATATTCCGAGGTCTGGAATATCCAATCGTTATAGGGCAATTATTTGTCATAGTTGACATGACATTCGTAGCGAGCGCATTTCTAATCCAACTTCGCCTCGGTTCCGTTCGGGTCATATCGGATATGAAAAAAGAAACGTTTCGTAAAGGTATGGTTGTTATCGTTGTTCTCCTCTTTAGATAACATTGAGAAAGCGTATCTAAATATTACATATAATCTTTTTTTTGGAATGACCCCTCTCCATTAACCTTGCAAAAAGTTTGTTACAACATGATACAAAATCCTCGTGAAAAGAATTTTGTCTGTAATATTTAGCAATTAAGCTTCTCACCATACCTTTTACAACTCCTGGCGGATGTGCCGAATGAGGGATAGGATATAAAAATAAATTTGTATCCTTTTCCGCCGAGGTTGTCCATAACATCGTACCATCCGCATGAATACAGATGTCGAGGAATTGTAATTTACCATCCTTCATAGATTCTTTGGTTCATTTTAGACCAGAAATACTGTTAAGGATGGCCAGCATTTTTTTCTCTAAGAATCTCCCATTATCTTTTAAAATCACCAATGCATCATCCAAGTATCTTTTATATAAGTTGAGATTGGATTTTAAAAGAGGGTATAATTTGGTAGATTCATAGTAAGCAACATAAAGGGTTGCTATACTGGGGACTGCTGGATCCCCTATAGGAATGCCGTTCGTTTGAATGTAGAGCTTGTCATAGAATTCAAAATAACCAGTACTCAGAATTAAACGAAGGGCTTCTACAAACAAACCACCATGAATTGGTACAAAATGCTCTAGAATGTATTTTTTAATCTCTT